ACATCATGATTTACGCATCTCCGTGTTATGCTGCCCGAAAAATCTTCCTCCGCAAGTTTTTACCAGGCGATTTGCCTGTGTAGATACGGTAAACGATCCAGTCGCACTCGTTCAAGTGATCCGTCGAGTGCGTTGACATAATTGTGTATGTGTTCAATTACGGTGGAATTCGATGACTGCCCGATACAACTGTGACTTCCAAACGATACACATTCCTTCTTGTGAATGTCAAAGAAAGAAGTGTCCGAGAAACCTTAATCAATCAGACACCTTTGCCGATTTCTCTTTGTAGTTATCACAGCATAAATGTTCCACAAATGGAATCGAGTTTGGGAGAAAGAGATAAGGTTGTGTGGTTTGAAAAGAGGGGCTTCAAGCTTGATGTTCAGAATGACTTTGAACTTTATTAGATGGATTCCGCAACTATACAGCATCCAGAAAAATTGACAACCATGAACTATTGAGAGGGGTTGCGCCATGCGCATGACAACTGCTCAGAGTCATGATACCGGTAGGCATGGGCCTCCGCAGTGGCTTGCAGATGTGGCCGTAGTCTATTTGTACCGTCTTTCTTTGCGCGCAAGTACCGCTAACGCTGTTTTGATTCTGGAAAGAACTCGGAATTTTATGATAATCCGAACGGTTTTTTTAAGAAAGCGTAATAAGGAAGATTAAGGTGTCTGGTCTGGTGTTGAACCAGAGTTAAAGGCAAAGTTCGGGCTCAGACCCACACCAAATAAGCCCTTAAAGTGGCTAGAAGTGGATGGGACGCAACTGCAGGCTACTCGCCAAAATCCCGCATCGAAATGCGTCACTAAGGCGCTAGGGGCCAAGGACTTTGACACGCTCCACCTGTTGCGACACGCTCCGCCCACCGCTCGATATCTTGTCTGCGTCGCAATATTGATCTGCTATGCTCTCTCTTCTCGGATTTCTCTACCGCTCTCCGCGCTCACATTATCTCTCATCTCCCTGCCGGCCTTTTGAACTTCTCCGCAACGTAGAGCAAAAGGCTCGTATTTCCTGTGTATTTCATGATTTTTTTTTCCTTTTTTCTCCACTGGCGGTCCACCTCCCACCCCTACGTCACATTTGAGTAGAATTACTTCACCCATTTGAGCCTGAATCTTGCCTTTAAAGGGGTAATAACTTCGTATAGCATACATTATGGCCCAAGGTTTGATCAACGATTGTCTTCCCTCCGGAAATCATGTTACTACCTAAAACATGGTTGTTGGTACCGGGTACAAGTAAGGACGATCATCCATATTCTATAAAGCTTATTCGCACGGCAAAAGCACCGTAATACCGCACCATTGATTCCGAGTCTCTATGGCGAGAAAAGCTAATGGTTGCCAGAAACTGAGCAAATTTCACGAAAATGCTGGGTTATGAGCTAAATTCTCGCCCCGGATGGGAACGATCCCGCGTCTCTCGCTTTCCGGGCGGTTGTGCTACCGACGGGAACCGCTGAGCCCAGGCATTGCTTCTAATCCGCTGACGCGAAAAGTGGCCTCATAACACAGAACTCTTGTGGAGCTCCTCCTCTCAACGATACACGCAGGGTTGAACAGGAGCCAACAAACAGAAATGGAGCGAATAGTAGAATTGTCTTTGACTAGTACAGAACAGGTTCATTGTCAACATATTCAGATCCGTGACGAATGTGGTGAAGAAGAAGGACCACCGGCCAAGTTACCGTACGTCTCATCATTGCCATGGCTCTCAAACAGCTGTTTTCCACTGCCACAACTGCCTAACGCCGCCGCTTTCACACAGCCAGATCCGACGGCGGCGATGATGATGAACCCATTTATGCTGCTTGTTCCTCAGCTATTCGGTCAACTAGACTTTTCAATGTTCATGAAATCCTCCCACCCCCCTGCCACACCCGGAAATAATTCGTTTTCCATTGAGGCATTACTAAGTTCCTAACGTCTTTAATCCCCGTGATTCCTTCGTTTCTACCGTACTCGTGTGATACGCGAGAACACTTGTAAACACTGTATATTCGTTTTTTTCTTGGTGACTACTCAATCCGAATGATGATCTAGTTGATATTTTAGAGGTTTAATAGACGCGTAAAATATGTGTTTACAGTTTCGCTCTCGCCCTCGTGATCATGTTTTAAGTTATTTTTCTTATCGTTATTTGCATAATTGTGATGTCTGTGTGGAATGCAAATCGATTACCAAATTTTAAATTGCATGCTATTTATGGATTGTATTGTATTATCATATTTGTGTGTTTAGACTGGCAAAGATATCTATTGATTTATTCGTGCTGATACAGCGCGCTAATGAAATAAAATGCAATTATGAAGTTTTCACAAAGCTCATGTAACTTCTTTGGGGGGGGGGGAGGAGGGGACGGACATTCTAAGTCGGCGCATTTAGCGTCTTGGGAGTAATCTAGCAGTGCCAGGGATTCTGAGGAGCATATCGAAGCAGTCTATTCTCACTTGGCGTTTCTCTCCTCTCCTGCATTTATTCGCAGTGCTACGTACCATAGGCCCTAATTCCAATGTCCCTCCTAAAGAAATGAGCCCACATGTGTCTGTCTATGTGCCATGAAATTCAAATAAGCACCAAAATCAAAGCCACACGTGAACCCACGGACCTCCTGCTAAATGGTGGCGGGCGTCACCAAAGTGGGTCGTCCTCGATGTCAAAAAGTTTTGATTTGGTTGAAAGACCCACGACTCAAAGTCCCCAAAGTAGATGAAATAGGTGAGCAGCGATGAGACTAAGCAGGCTAAACTAATGTGGGGAGTTCTCAGAATGAAGTTGCTAACTACTGAAGTTCAAAATAAGGATTTTATGACTGTCTTGAAACCGCATGAATGTACAAAATCAGCGTCCACAGTTAGCAGAGTGCCCTTCCATGAGGTGCGTGCTACAACATTTCACAATTCTGATCCCGGAAGTCCTCGAGGTCGGATAGCAGAAATGGGTCACTGAGCCGAACTGAATCTTCCTCCTCGAAGTTTCCATAGATGACCGCCCGTTCGACGAACGCATTTCATCAAAAAGCCCCGCATCGGATCTCTTTTTCCAAATGCCGCTCACGTTACGCGGCCACCTTTTGCGTCGACTGCATGAAAACATGGAGCGATACTTGACAGCGACGTCCTCAGCCTATTTGGAAATTGCCCGGAAAAACGGGCGAGAATTTTGAATTCAGCCGGGGAAAGGGACTTCAACAGAGCATCGTGAGATTGTTATTTATTGACTGTGAGGAATTCAGCCGAAAAAAATAGTCTTTAATTAAAATGGGTTCGCTCTGGGGACGTGTATAGTGGGTAAAAAGCGTCGGATAGAAGTCGTTTAGTACGCGTGATCGGTCGTTTGAGTGATTGCGTGGTGGTGTTCTGACGCTGCTGGTTACCGGTTCTTCCCTGATTACTTGGACAATAACATTCAGATACTCTCGGGGATATCCTTGAGTACACTATCATGACCATCTTCAAAATTAGCCCCAGGTAAAGGACCTTTATAGCTTAGTTTCTGGAACTGGCTGGACAAATTTCCCAGCTAATTTTCAAGAAAATTCACAAATATCGGCTCGAATAGGTGAGGTCAAAGCGAAAGATGGAGAGAAATGATGGACATGACATTGTCTGCGAATAAAGTGGACAGATTTCGCGCATAGACCACCCGCTGTTTGCGGTGGTCCGTTAAGAACGTCTTGTGGCTGAGCGCGCCCCTTCATCCGCTACCGTACGCCGTCACAGCTGTGATTGGTCGGCACCGCCTGGCCCCGCCCCCGGCGAGTATTCGCTTGAAATTAGCGGGTCTCACTAAATAGTGTCTCGCCATTGAAAATTTGCACCAGCCTTGTGTCAGCATTCATTTCACGTGTGATGCCTCGACCCGGTAAAGATTCCTATGATGAACAGGTAGGGTCCACCGGTTCTTCACAAGCTTTCCCTTCATTACCGTACTATTTCACTGCTTTATTTATTGCAATAAAATTCATTATGACTTAAGTTCTCCTTTGACAAATTCATATCTAAGTCGCTCTATTTGTTCAGAAACCACCGTACTCCTATATTTGGTTGACCTACATGGCAATACAGAATTCTGAAGAGAAAATGCTACCACTAACCGAGATTTATAAATTCATAATGGACAAGTTCCCGTTCTACCGAAAGAATACGCAGAGGTTTCCACATCAATCGTTTTCTTTTTATTGAACTCATGCCAAGAAACCCGATATTTCCGCCATGAATTGCTAACTTCCAGATGGCAAAACTCTTTGCGGCACAACCTATCATTTAATGATTGTTTTATCAAAATTCCTCGAAGACCGGATCGACCAGGAAAGGTAGGCGACCGTACTTCTGGCTGCGTTAAACTCATGTTGAAATACCGGAACTCGTCCGAATTGAATATTTCACAGTTAGCTATCTAGGAAATTCAAAGAAACTTGCTAGGCCCTTAACTGACTGCGATAGCGGGGCCCAGAAATAAGCAAGCGGTCCTCCTACAAGTTTTAGAACTGCTTCGAACTTCATTCTCTATTTTGTGTGTATTTTCTTCTCTTCAATTTCTCAATAATTTGATGTACTTGGTGACTCGATCGTAAACTATTTATTGCTATAAAACACATTTTGCGATCACCTAGTAAATTGTACACTAATTATGCCTAAAGGTGCAACAATTAGGAAAGGTAGGCGACCGTACCTTTTAGCTGCATCAAAATCATACTGGAATACAAGAACCTGGCCGAGTTGAATATTTCACTGTTAACTATCTATTGAACTTCAAAGTGTTGAGGCCCTAACTAACTGCAGCAGCAGGGAGCCCAGAAATAAGTAAGCTATTGGAGTAGAGAGAGGTGAGCGTAAAGCATCCCATTTTGAAAAGGAAATTTCTACGACTATCAGAATTTGAAATGGTAACCTCCAGGGATGAATATTTTGCTTGCTCCAATTGTTTATTGTAGGTATTTATATAGCGGAGCGAGCGGAAATCTCGAAGCTTCCAATTTGACTACGCAGCGCAGTATCCGCAAAGTCATATTTCAGGACACGCCCTGCCTCGATTCAAGCCCAAATTAGTGGGGCCATTGGAATATGTGCTCAATAACCTAATATACGTCCCTTAGACGTTTCGCAAAGAATGACTCACAAAGCATTTTTAATTGTTTCGTTTTTAAACTGCTGTTTTATCGGCGCTATTTTCGATACGAAAATTGTACAAGAATTCTGGATATCCAAATTCGAAATTGGAACAAAAGCTCAAATTCGCAACCGTCGAATCCCGACTGGCGGCCAAGATTTGCTCAAAACCAGCATTCGCGTGAAACTCGTAGGTCAAATCAGCGTTGTTATCTTTCGAGTGGTTGCAGATGGACACTTGTGAGCGTTGGAAATGGGAAAACTGCTAAGTTTTGTATAGCTCCTGGAGAATACAGGATTTTTATCGAAAAACTTCGGACAAGAAACTCTAGGAACTAAAGCAAGATGCTGTGCTAAAGATAAACAACGGATTGGGGCGCGCTCGAGTTTTTTGACTAGCAGAAACAAAATTTTTAAAGATTCGATGTGACAACTAGTTCGTGGCATTTTTCTTGCTGCCTTTACTAGAACTGCTAACAAAATACGCTGTTTGTTTATCGAAGGATTGCTGGTATTTTTTACGCGGAACCAGCGGACATAAGCGGCTTCTAGGCCTACGCCGTTCATTAGAAATCAGTTGGTGAGCTGTGTTTGAACAGTAGGTTGATATGAGTTTCATTGAGAAGTTTCTCAGCTTAATATGGTTTGCTTAGCTGAGACACCTTTTTCTGGCTACCTTGATTTCCATGCATGCAGTCGCACTTATTACCCAGCGAATAAGAACTGTATAAAAGGTCTATCTAACTAAATGTTCGGCAGTCGGAAATTCATCAACAAATCTTTTTCTTAGGGTTCTTACTGGGCGGTTCATCGAATGCTCTCGGTATGTTCGAAAGATGGGAGCTGTTTACGCAGGAGGAAACGATTCAAGGTGAGGTGATGCATTTTATTACAGTACTTATATTATTGCAGTATTACTGCTTGTTTTCGCTCGCTTCAGTGTTATATTGTAAAGTGGACGAAGATGGGGAAAATTTGATCATAGGCGGCATTCCGCAGCCTCTTACGCGCTCCTACAGTATCCCGTCTGACGAACGGGTAAAACAAAGAATTGGTGAAGGAGCACGGAAACCCGTTAATGAATGTTCGATTACCTTCGTTGTGTCGACGACGGAGAATCAATAACCGATTCGAATGTGTCGTCACATCGAATGACACTAACGAGAAAACCAGGAATTGGATAGGTCATTAGGGATGCGTCAAAAAACCCTAGTGCTCAGGAAAGGATTTGGAACCATTTACCGATAGCTGAAGAGCTTAAGGTCTCTATTCCATACGTTTTCATTATGATTACCTTCACCTGATGGAGTTGATCCAGGATTGTTGAGATATTGGCATAATTGAAAGGGTCGGGGAGTGGGGGTCGTGGGGTGGTTGGAACCAAGCGCATACTCTCTGTTTCAGGAAACGAGAAGAGCATCGAGTGCAGACCGCACACCACAAGTGACGATGCCAAGAAAAAAGCGGCTTTTTCTTTCTTTTCTTGACGTCGTAACTTGTGGTGTGTGGTCTGCACTCGACGCTCTTCTCGCTTTTCGAAATAGAGATCAGCTACTGCAAATCTTAGTCCCCCTCCTCCAGCAACAATTCTTCCCAAACTTCACAAAGAACATCACTTTGATTCTAATGATGAGTCGTTTCTCACCGTCCACTGCCACTACCTCTATTTTTCTTCGTTTTCCTCGTAACTCAAAAAACCGTCGGGACGCTGAACATCCAAATGAACTTACAAAAAACCTCCGCAAAGACGTCGGTGTACGCCTTGCACTGTTTTTCAGAGGATAATTGTCCTTCCTTTGAACGACTGAAACATCAATATGCATGCATTATAAAAACTACCTACTGTCTACCCTGTGTTGCCCATTTTCTTATGAAATTTTTTCCTCTGCCGACCCGTTAACAATCCTCTGGCTTTGTAAGCGTAACGTTAGATGGCGAGACCATTGGCGCAGAAAATATGCAAAAACCTTTGTAACCTTTATTCATAGAAATTGCAGCCCACCGCGTTTGGATAAGGGCGCTATTCCTTGAACGCCACAGGCTTCCGTCTCATTGAGGTTCATTGAGTCCTATGGAGTTCCTGAAGTTTTGACAACAAATATGATCATTTCTATGCAAATCGAGTCACTGAGTGGGTCCAGTAGCGTTTTTCAGCTCATAGAGGGAATTACAAAAATGAGGTCCGCTCGTTATAGCAGAGGTTGGTCCTAAACGCACCGGCCTCGGTGAATATAAAAATTAAAGCTTTTCCCGTTGATCAAT